TGGTTCCCTGCAGGCCTACAAACGATCTGAGTGATTAGCTTCCTCTGCGAGGGAGCAGAGCTAGGTGCTGACACTGTATTGATAGCATGGTGATCCTTTGGGTTACCTCTGAGGGGAAGCATGAGTCCATTTATTAAGTGGTTGAGCATTTTCTCCACGTGTGTCTGAGGGCTGTAAAGAGGACAAAACTTTTTGGCTTGTTAAACACAAACTTAATGAAAACTGAGTTGTTTCTCTTAGATCAGTGGTTACCAGGGTGCTTATGTGTACAGCCACACATGATAAAAGTAATGCTGCTGAGTTGTTTTGTTGCCATGGGGTTAACACTGTCTGAAACTAGTTCACCTTTGCATCGTAAACCTTGATGGAGAAGGTGTGCTCTTCCGGAGCACGTTTAGAGTTAGCTCTCTGTTCTGAGCTGGGTAAACCTGTCAGAGCATAGACAGGTCATCATGAAGCCTTTTTCTCCATGTGAGGCAGCACGTTCGTGATATAGAGACTCCCTGCACACAACATGTGGCTTCCAGGCTGGCAGAGCACAGCAAACCTGTATATTTCAGAATCGCTGAGAAATGTGCTGCTGTATCTCAGATAACATAGTAGGTGCCCGTCTTGGAAGTGGCTTAAAGCTTTCCCAGTGAATCTGTTCTCTGGAGTTGATGCAGTTATGTGCAGAACTCCAGCCATTTTTGGTAAATACTGTCTATGTGTTTTTAAATATCTCGGTGTCTTGCTGTGTTTCTAAGGTGGAAGTGGAGGCATAAGCAATAATGTTAAATAGCCACATGTAAGATTCTCGTTAGAAAAATGACCCTAGTGATGAGATTTTGAATAGTGCTTCTTGCTTTGAAAATTCAGAATAATTTTATAGGTGATGTATAAGGTGAAATAGAAGACACGTAACATTAGATCCTTTAATTTAAAATGGCATAATCATTTAGCCAGTAGTGTATGTAAAATATTAGCAGTTGAATATGCATGGTAGTTAGGTGATGTTCATATGATTTAGGTGGATGTACTTGTTCCTGAGCTAAGGATAAGGCATTTAAACATCTTCTTATTTAAAAACCAAAAAAGCTCTAAATTTTCCCATAATTCTGAAATCATTTTTTTTTAAGTGCTCTGGGTGTTCTTTTTTTAAATTAGTAATACTTAATAGTTATGTGAATGCTTGGGTGTTCCTTATTAGAAGAGGACTTTAAAGCTGGTTTTATTATATGGGATGGTAATTTTGAGACACACTAGGGTATTGCTGTAGCATCTGTTCTAAACACACATATGTTGTTTCTGGCTCTCCCAGTGATTGGGTGAGCTGTGTGTGCAGTTGTGAAGCTCTGTCTTGTCTGTGGCTGCAGATGCTTCCATTTAATTTCTTCTATGCCTAGAAGTATCCTGGGTCTTGCTCTGTTTTTCCTAATGTATTTTTTTCTTGGGGAAAAACTCTCAGTTCACTGTTCATGAATTATGGCTAGCTACTTGTAAATTTGTATATTGTTCCTCAGTTCTCTCTCTTGGACTTAGATTACCAATTTTGTTTTCTTCTTACTTTTCTTCAGAATTGGAAGAGTATAGTTCATCAAGTTATGAATTTCATTTGGCCTATGAGATGCAAACCCCTGAGACTGTTGGAAGGGTGATGACCTTTTATCCTTTTGCCTTTAGCACCAGAAGGGAAAACAGCTCCAGTTTAAGCGCCTGGAGGCTTTTGTTAGAGATTCGTGGCGCAAACACCGAGATGACATCCGGCTGAGGCGCATGGAGCAGAGACCTGCACAGACAGCTGTACCTCAGGAGCAGAAACTAGCCTTTGTTATGCGGATTGCGGAGTAAGAAACTTGTTTACTCCTTACCTTTATTACTGCTACCATGTGTAGCTGTCATGTCTAAGCAAAGGAAGCATGATCAACCCAGATGTATCTCCTTGAAGGTAATCTGAGGCCCTTTGTTGCTGTATTAGAGAAACCTGGTTACTAATAGTTTTTGTTTTCTGACTCAGTATTAAGGGGGTGAGTAAGAGAGTAAGAAGAGTGATTGAGTTGCTGCGGCTGAGAAAAAACTTCACTGGAGTATTTGTTAAACTGACTCCATTATCGCTGAAGATGCTGCGGATTGTGGAACCGTATGTGGTGTGGGGGTAAGTACCAGTCCTGTGACTTGGTAATAGTTTGCATGTAAAGATCATAGCTTTTTGATTCTGCACTTGGTATCACAAATCCATAGCTGGCTTTTCCAGTAATGGCCCAAACTTCCTCAGCTTTGTACCTAAAACTCACTATTGTCCCTTTTCTCATTGTTCTAAATATAATTTAGTCACTTTCCCACCAGAGAAGTAGGATAGGCTTTCCCGCTGTCTCATGTCTCTTTGCTAAAAGATCTGATTTTTTGTTTTGTACAGGCATCCTAACCTGAAATCTGTACGAGAGCTCATCCTGAAACGGGGCCAAGCCAAGATTAAGAAAAAGAGGATGCCTTTGACAGACAATATGCTGATAGAGCAACATTTAGGTGAGGAGGAGAATGAGGAGATGAATCATGGTTACAGGAGGGTGTTAAGAGTTTGCAATGTGACCTGAGAGGGAGGGAGAAAAAATTTGCAAGACCTGTATATGGAGCACTGTCAATTCTGATGTAGTGTGAGAAGAGATAATACAGTTGGTATCTTGTGTACATCTTGGGGGGAGGGAGCAGGTAGCTTTTTGTTATTTTACTGGTTTTTGGTTGGTTGGTTGGGTTTTAATTTTATTTTTTTCCCTGCAGGAGACTGTGGTATTATTTGCCTGGAAGACCTTATTCATGAGATCTGTTCAGCTGGGAAGCATTTTAAAAGAGTCACAAATTTTCTGTGGCCATTCCATCTGTCAGTGGCTCGCTATGCTTCGCGTAACAAAGTAGGTTTCCTCAAGGAAATGGGTAAGCCTGGCTGCAGAGGGGAAGCAATCAACCAGCTTATACGTCAGCTGAACTAGTCAGGTGAGGAATGCCTGTTGTGTAACTTCTAAATCTTACCCTTTATTGAGCTTCCTAAGAATAACTGCCACAGGACATGAGGGGAGCTCCTTTTTCATTCTTCACTCTACAGAAGTAGAAACTTATGGAAGGGAAAAACTAAATGGAGAGTGTGGGTCCCATTAAGTGTCAGCAAGTCTGTTGGACACCTCCATAAGGGCCTGGCTCCTGAGGGATTGCGTTCATGTGACTTTTCTTTGGTGTTCTGCAGGGTCTTTGTGAAAACATAAGGATTTGGGACCTGTTCTTCTCACATGCTGTTCTCATGGATGTTAGGCTCTGTCTCTTGACTGTATATATTTTTATATATGTTTCTCTATAAAGAAAAAAAATACACAGATGATCGTGGAGATGGGACTTTGGGCTGGTCCTTCTTGAATTAAATAAATTGTAGTTGGTACAAGGAAGAAGTGACTGGAACTCCCCGGAGCAATCTGACTTCTGCATCTCTGCAAAACACTTTTTTTTTTATACTCATTACTGCTGCCTCTGTACTCTGTTCCTGGTCTCATATCTGGTATAAAGAAGTGGTGGTCAGTTCCTGATTTAAATGTGGTACAGTTGATTTGCACTCACGCCTTCCATCCTGTACTCCCCAGTGGAAACACTTGAAGTTTCATGCCTTGAAGTGCATTTCCTTAAGGGTAAAGGGATGGTGCAGTCATCTCTTTAACATATATTGCTGACAGACAGAAGAAAATAGATGTTCCTCTGTCGCTGCAGTGTAAGCCCTAGGAGTGAACAATGTAATGTTTTTGAAGTACGTAGATTGTATTTATTTTAAAAAGCAATGATTTTCATGCTGGTGATTTACAGAAGGCTGTGTTTTCACTTGTGCTAGGTTCACACTGCTGGAGAGAACTATTTCCTGGTAAAGAGCTCGGAAACTTTGTGGTAGAGTGGTAGAGTACATGTTTAAAGTTTTTTTTTTTTAAATAAACTTCTAAAAATACACTCTCACAACAGGAACAGTTGTGTGTATATGACGCTGGAAGAGGGGAAAGAGGTGAATACTCTGCTTCAGTTGAGATTGGTGAAGGACATGAACAAAGAACATTGAAGAGCCTGAACATTTGGGTTTAAATCTCCAGTTTCTTTTAGTGTAAAAATGAGTGAAGAACGCAGGAGCAGTCCTATGCTGTTTAACATATATGGAAGGCACTGGGCTGAATCATTAGGTCACTGTGACTATACTATTATTTGAAGACTTAAGTGGGGGCAAACAATCCATGAATGGATTTCAGAGTGACTCCACAACACTCATTTTGAGACTCAGAGGAAACAACTACACTGCCTTTAGGGGGATTAGTTCTACAGTAGCTATAAACTTAAGATGCAGCATTAATAAACCCACCTAAAGTATGAAGTACTGCAGACTGAATTAGAGAACACTATACAGTTTCAAGATTTATTTTGTAAAACAAGAATACAGACATAGACGATGCTTGACAGACATTAAGAGACATATACATACTTAGCACACCTCCATCCCCCAATCTAGAGCCCAACAGTCATCAATATACAAGGCTTCATCTAAGATTTTCCTGATAAACAGCTGTTTTCATTGGTAAAGAGATATAAGTCACTTTGGAATTGTTCTGCCAATTCATTTTAGGGTTGTTTCTGGTAATAAAACAGCCCAGGCTTTCACACAAAGAACTGGCATGTCAGGAGTAAGGTTTTTTGAGAGTAAACTTACGCCTGCTAATAGAAGCAGTTTATAAAAAAAAAAAAAAGCTGAAGTAACAGGATCTGAGGACAATTCTAGCAGTTAATCCCAGATTCAGGCAGTTTTTCTATTAATGTGCGTGTTTAACACACGAGTAATTTAGCTCATATGTTTAAGAGTTGAAATATCATCATGAATACCTTATTTAGACCTTTAAAAACAATGCCAGCTTGGTCTAGTGTTATCCCACATTATCACAAACGTTGGCTTTTTTTCTGTATCATCAGCAAAAGCAAGAATAATGATGTGTTCATGACTTAGCTGCCCTAGGAACAGAAACTATACAAGGTAAGAGCATATGTACAATCCCCCTGCCCCATGTCCTATGGGAAGGAATCTTTTTTGTAAGCCACTGTGCTGTTGACTTTGTGGATTGTAGTAGTGAAGGAACGAAGACGAACCTCTTCTGAATTGGCTATGAATTGTGGTCCTGACTCTTCCCACTTTTCTGGCACTGCCAAATCTTTATCTGTGTATATCAGCAAGTCAAAAGCACCTGTAAGCAAGTGGGAAGAAATTACACATGCATAAGAAGATGACATATTTGAAAGTAAAGCACATCTTCTAGAGCTTGAGACGTGAACCAAGGTTCACAGAATTCACACTGATACTAGTTGAAACATGAAAACAAGTCCTGTTTATATTCATATGTAGCCATTTTAGTTTTCTCACGCAAGTGTGATGCAAGGTTTTTTTTTTAAAAAGCATGTTAAAATGCTGTGGAGCTGAGCTCTCTGTAATGCTTCATAGGAATTCAACAGTGATTTACACAAGCCTGTCCACAGCTAGTCACAAAATTACTATTATTTATGAAAGCTTACATTTCTCAGAGTACACGTGCTAGTTTCATTTAGTTAAGCTACTCTGCATTCTGTCCTTGTCTCAGTCTAACAAAATGCAGCCTCAGAAATGTGGTGGTATATGACATGTAATAATTAAAAAACGTCAAAGGTAGCAGAAAATATTTTCTAAAGTGGGAAAGTTGAGGTTTTCCAGAAGAAGTTGCTGATTTCTTTAGTGAAGTCAATACTCACAGGCAGTTTCCAACAGTGGCAAAAAAGTTACTGTGGCAGTGATTTGTCTGATAACAGATCGAATTTCATCCTGAATAACTTTCTGAGATTTTTCTCGTGGTTCACTGGAAAAATAGGAAAGCTCTGTTAAGAAAGAAAGTTTCTACCATCCTGACAGTTTTCTTCAAATATAGTTCTCCTAATTCGGTTCTGTTGGTCTGTTTGTTACAGGATTTTTATAGTAGTGCCTAAGCCCTAGGGTAGGTAGGCTTAGACAAGTTCAGTGATAATCAGTTTACCTTTACCATTGCGAAGCTTCACAGTATTTGTAAGGAATTGGGACATTCTCAGTCCAGAATGGATAAAAACATTTTGGTACAACAGCACCAAAGTAGTAGTTCTTAAGGGCATATACCTGGTACGGGATTTTATATACTTTGTTGAAGATTAAAAATCAAGTTCTGATGTTTTACAGGGGAAAAAAAAATAAATCACATGTGAGGATTATGTATGCTTCATTCGTACAGTTTATGGTTTACAGACAAACATAAAGATGAGCAGTAGGAAAGAAAGAAGGCTTTGTAAGTTTTGAAGGCACATCTTCCATGCTCAGAGCTATCTCAACTGCTCTGAGGAACCAGAACAGCACAAATGCACATGGCATGTATCTTGTAGCTGCACAGCTACTAGACACGGGGAAGCGCAGACACAGAGGAACACTGTTACTCACTTCTCATCTTTTGCAGTTTTGTCACACTCGATGTCAAACTGCCACCGCTCCAGAACTTCATTGTTTTCAATACTCGAGATGACCACCACCAGACGCTGCACAATGCACTTGTACAACCACTCTGAAAGAACACACAGCAGTTACTTGCAGCGTGAGAAAGATGAGAAGTACTGGCAGAAACACAAGAAGGGCACAGCAGCCTTCTGCCAGCAGTAGTAGCTTGGCAGTCTGAAGAACCCCCCTCAGCTCCCCGACCCGGCCCGGGCCACTGCCACCTTTCATCTGCTCCACCACGTTGTTGAGGTAGTTCTTCAACTCGGGGTCGGTGGTGATGAGGAGGGTGAGCCCATACTTCTGGACGCGGGTGAAAGTCTCGGGGGGGTAGATGCCCCGCTGATAGAGGATGCTGTTGATTCCATAGGCTGCAACAACAAGGAAAAGGGAAAGGTAGAGATATGTGTGCGTGAGGCAGCCACCATCCCCCTTCCCTACCGGCGGCCATGTCACCCCACAAGAGGCCTATC